GTCCCCCCACCCTGTGCCCCCACTTGGGTGCTCTGCTGCCAATAAATGTCCCTGCATTGCTCCTGGTGTCACCCTAAGGCTCCCTGCACCGCCCTGTGCCTCCCTGCACCCCAACAGGGACTCCCAGCCCCTCTATGCCCAGCCAATGGGGTCTGGGGGCTGGAGACACCCCAGAGAGTGGGGGGTCATGAGTGGGGGGCACTCACCAGGGTGGGCTTAGTGTTCACCCTACCTCTTCAAGGCTGTGGAAAGGCAGAGACCCCCTGAAGGTGCTGATCTTTCAGGGACCTCCCTGACACCTCCTCCCCAAAGAAAGATGTTTCCTGGCCCCACTGTCACCACACAGGGGACTGGGGACATGAGGGGAATGATGCTGATGGCAGAGGGTGTTGGGCTTGGGGGGGAACAGGGCCAGCCCCCCCCACAAAAGGGCACAACACTGTCCTGGCGCCACAGGCACTGCTAGCTCCCAGACTCTCCGTGTGGCACTGTTCTCATACAGGGATTCACACCCCAGGGACTGTCCCCCCTGCCCCTGGGACACCTCAGGGACCAGAGCATCCCCTGGGAGCCTGTGCCACCCCATGGGGATGCATGTGGGGTACAGTCCCATAAGACTGTTGGCCTACGTGGGAGGTGGAGGGGACAGCCCCAGGATCCTGCAGGCCACCAGAGCTGGGGCTACAGCCATGACCCTCCTGTAGCCACTCTTGGGGTGTGGGAGTCACTGAATCACTGAACCCCTGAACTCTTCACCCCAGTGTCCTCATCCCAAACTGGGGGTCCTCTCCCCAAACTGGGGGTCCCCTCCACGGCCCTTCCCTTGTAGCTCCCTGGGTACCTCATGGCCCTGGTGTCTCCCTGTGTCCCTCTGACCCCCCTCTGCCATCACCACAGGTTTGGGGGAGGACAAGGTGCCACAGGGATGATGACACCACGGGAACAAAGGCATTGTGGGAGTGATGGCAGGTGAGCCATCCTTTTTTTGGGGGGGGCCCTGAGTGAACCCATCCCTGACCCCAGTGCCAACCCCACATCCCCTCAGGGCCAAGGAGCAGCCCCCTGTCTCCCACCCATGCCTCAGTTTCCCTGTGTGATGAAGGCAGAAGGAGCCCAGTGCCACGTGGCCTCAGCCCAAGCCCACAGAGACCCTCGTGTGGACGTTGAAGTTGATCTTGGGCCGAAAGCGCCGGATCTTGCTCAGGAAGCGTCCGAAGCGACCGCGTTGGATCAGGACTGGCTGCAGGAGGGATAGGGGGTCGGAGGAATGGGATGGGGGGGAGCCTCACTTGGGAACACACATGGGACCCCACACCCAGGACTCTGCACACAGGTTCCCACCCAGTACCCCACACCCAGCACCCCACTCAAGATCCTGCACCCAAAGTCCCAGCCAGGACCCCACCCCCAGGAGTCAACACTTGGGACCTCACACCCAGCACCCACCAGGTGACTGCACTCAGGCCCCCTCACCCATGACCCCACGTGTCCCTACACCTGGGACACCTGGGACCCCACACCCAGGAGCCTGTACTGGAGACCCCACCTGGGACCCTGCATCCAACACCCAGAACCCAGGACCTCCCCCAAGACCCCACACGCAGGACACACCATCCAGCACCCATGGCTGTGCCAGGACCCCCTACCCTCTAGCACCCCAGGCTGAAGCCATCATGGTGGGGAAAAAGCCATCAGGGTGTCCCTTTTGGGTTGGATATGTGGCAGGGGAGAGACACCAGCACCCAACACTCCCAGGGATGCCCTCACCCTCGTGTGCCCCCCGGATCCCCCCACTCACGTCAGAAGAGGCATCGGAGCAGCTCAGGTCGATCTCGGGGGAGCTCTGCAGGAGCTGCACTGTCCCTGAGCACTCCTTGATGGCCTGAGTGGGACACAGGGACACCCAGTGTCACCCCGGGGGGGATACCCAGGACCTCCGTGTTCCCTCCTTCCTCCCCCTCCTCCTCCTTCTCACTCCGTTCTCCTTGAAGTCGCAGTCGTCAGGGTTGAGGCGAGCACTGGCAGCACAGTCTGTCTCCATCATGGTGAAGTTGAGGCCCCTCAGAGAACTCAGCTCCACACCCTGGGGGGACGAGTAGGTGAGGGGCACAAGTAGGGGGACACAAGAGGGGGTCCACAAGTG